GAACCCAAAACCACAATAAAACAAAAGCCAGGCAAGTCAGGGTGAATAGAAAAACATTGCTATTCTAGTTCCACAGGGTTCTGGGCTGAGAGGTAGCTCTGAGGGGCAGCTGCCCACAGAGGGGCAATTTACCCAAAAAATTGAACCTACCAGGGCAGTGGGTTCCAGCAGGACCCCAGTGGGCAGTACAAAGCAAGATTTGGAAAACTGGCAGACAGAAACAGAGCTATTAAAAGAATCAGTGCTGGGTGGTGGTGAAGAACGCCTTTAATCCCAGCACTCGCGAGGGAGAGGCAGGCGGGTCTCTGTGAGTTCGAGGTCAGCCGAGTCTAGAGAGCAAGTTCCAGGACAGCCAGGGCTTACACAGAGAAACCCTGTCTCAAAAAAACAAAACAAACAAACAAAAAAAAAATCGCTGAGAGTATAGTAGGGATAAGAACCAGAGAAGGACTTCTCCGCTGGTGTGCCCCAGAAATGGTGTATCCAAGTGATGGCCTTTCATCCGCGCCTAGCCAGCTGCGGTTGCTTAAACCATCGCTGAAAGAAAAGGGAGGACAAGAGACAGGAGATAGGACAACACTTACCGTCCTGGGACTTCCGGGCAGGGTACCTCTTTCCTCCCCTTGCCTCTGTTTACCCATTCATACAAAGGGGCTGTGTAAGCTAGGAACGCCATGTCTCCTTAGCCCTTCTTTCCGTGGTGGCTGAACACATAAACAAATAGGAAATCACACCTACAGAATGGAGGAGTGGCTGAGGAGGCTTGGCTAAGCAGCTGCCCATGTGGAGTGGGTTCTCTGAGTGGGTTCCGGCTTCCCCGTGAGTGTTGGTGGAGACACGCCACAGAGAAAGGGGTGGGGACAGTGGGAACTTCACTTTTTGGGAGACTTTTTTTTTTTTTTTTTTTTTTTTGCCTTGCACAAACAGCTCAACATGGAGTGAGTCAGAATTTCCGAAAGGCATAATTTTAGTGCCCTTCTTGCGGTTGCCTCTGAAAGGGAGGCCTCGGGCGGGGTTTCCTGTGCTCAATTCCAGAGATGACAGAGGGGCTCTCCCCCAGCCTTTTGCCAGAATTTTCTTTCCAGATACCATTCTTTTTTTTTTCTTTTAACTTTGTAGCAACAGTTAAAGCCTTCCTAGCTGCGAATTCTCTCCACACTTGCACAGCGTCCTTAGGATTTCTTCCGTGTGTGTGGGCTGCTTCGAAGTGGAAAGGGATCACTGAAGAAAACAAGGGCCTAGATTAGAGAGATGGCTTGGTGGGACAGGGATTTGCTGCCGACTGTGAGTTCGATTTCCGGGACCCACCTGGTAAAAAGAACTACCAATTTTCACAAGTTGTCCTCTGACCTCCACGTGCTCACTGTAGCACTGGACCCCTCCTTCTCCTTCAGTTAAATAAAGGAATGTAATTTTAAAAACTATTTGGAGATAGCTCAGTGGTTAAGAGCACTGACTGCTCTTCCAAAGGACCTGGGTTCAATTCCCAGCGCCCACATGGCGGCTCACAACTGTCTGTAACCTCCCGCCCAAGATCTGACACCCTCACACAGACATACATGCAGGCAAAACACTAAGGCACACAAAATAAAAATAAATAAATTATAAAAAAAAAAAACCCTCTTGTTATTTTATTTTTACTGGAGCTGAGTGTTAAGTTGGCAGCGTAGCACCCACCCCTTTGCACCCATCCCAGACCCCTGGCCTGGGAGTTGCAATGCTCTGGACTCCAAATCCTAGCATGGCAAGTCCTGACACCGTCCCGGGTGTGTGTGTGTGTGTGTGTGTGTGTGTGTGTGTGTTAGGACCACTCCCACAGGGTATTTAAGTGAGCTCCCAGAGGAGAAACACATGGTTCTGGGTTTGCATGGGCTCCCTGCTGTCCTGTCTTCCTGCTATGAGCTTGGCCACCCAAGAGCATTATTCTTAATAAAACGATGGGCATTTTGATTTGGTTTGATTTGACCTAATTGGATTTCTTGCACTCGCGGAGCTGCCCTTTTCTTATTATTTTTACTTATCACTGAGGATGGAACTCAGGGCCATATGCGTGCTAGGCAATGCTTGACCACTGAGCTAAGTTCCTAACCCTAAAAATATTTTAAATAAATAACTAAATGAATAAAAGCTGTAGTATGGGGGTAGCTCAGTGGGTCCCACCCAGAACCACATACAAATAAACACAAACACCAATGCATAGTGAAGTCCTGGTTTGGATGGATGTACACAGCAGCCTTGTGAAAAGTGCCAAGTCCTGTAAAGACAAAGATTACACAAACAACCAATCAGTACACATGCAATGCTTTGCGTGTGTGTCTGTGGTGTGTGCCTGTATGTTTGCATAGATGCCATTGTCTACTAGTCTACTAAGTATCCTCCTCTACTGTACTTTTTTTTTTTTTTTTTTTGAGGCAAGGTTTCTTGCTGCACCTGGAGCTTGCTTCAGCTAGACTGGCTGAACAGAGAACTCCTACAGTGTCCCCCCCCCACCTCAACAGGTGTGCCAACACATTGGGCTTTTTATGTGAGTGTTGGTGATGCACACTCAGGCTTCATGCTCACGCAGCAGGTACTTACTCACTGAGCAATCTCCCCAGCACTTTAATATTTGATGGCACGCTGCAGTTTTTATTTTATCATTTTTAAGTGTTTTCTCCTGTGCGATGTCATTGCCACCCCCCTCTAGACTTCTAAAGAGTTACCTGGCTCACTCAGCTAAGAAACAACAGAAAGGCAAGGGTGGGAGCTTGAGTGTCTACCGCTCTGAAAGTCTTAGCCATGGTAGGGACCCGTGAACCTCTCTCCACATCCCCAGAGTCTAGCATATGGTTGACCTCCGGAGATATTTGATGAAAGACGTTAATAATCCTATGCCAGAGACCCTAGCCACCATAACAGACTCAGAACCATAATGCAACAGCTCCTGCCAAGGGGTCCTCAGGACACCAGGCATAAAACCATGCAAATGTCTGTTAGATCTTTTTAACAAAAGAGGAAACCAAGGCTGAGTCATCAGCTGAGGGTTGTGAATTGAGGTGATTTGGCACCATAGTCCCGTTCCCCTCTCACCAAGATAGAGTTTCTCTGTGCAGCCCTGGCTGTCCTGGAACTCTCTCTTTAGACCAAGCTGGCCTTGAACTCAGAAATCTGCCTGCCTCTGCCTCTGGGGAGCTGGGATTAAAGTCTTGCAGCTCCTAGCTAACTGCCTTAGGCCAGCTTTCAAACCAGGTCTGGCCAATGGCTCCAGGGTCATAGCAGCAGCAGAGCCAGTAGCTCTACTCCAGCACAAAGTACCTGACCCCTCCATGCCTTGTTGTCCCTTTCAGACGAAGCTAATTACACTTCTCTCAACTTTGGGGAGGCTCTTTGTAAGGGTTTAACAAGGATGCTGGTTGAAAGCTTTCTGAAGAGCAGAAGCCTTAGCTAAAGGTGAGAATTATAGTAACTGTTAGTCATAGCCTGCTTGGCTGCTGTAGCACCTTGATGGGCTCAGGACCAGAGGTGCTAGACCAGGGGAGGCCCTTTGTGTGGATCTTCTCAGAGCAATTATGACTTAATGAATGGGCTGAGCCTCTGCACCCAGCTTCAAACTGGGTCCACAGCAGAGTTAATCCCAGGGAGTTAGGAGCTTTACCTAACTCCTGTCTCTTCCTCAACCCGGAATAGACACACACACCACACTCACTCTCTGTCTCACACACACTTTCACACTCTCATACACATTCTCTCTCACGCTCTCATTTGCTCACACACTCATACACAAACACACTCACATACACACTTTCTCAAACACATTCTCACATACTCTCTCACACATACTATCTTACACACATACACACACACCACACTCACTCTCATACGCACTTTCTCAAACACACTCTTACACTCACACACACAGACACACACACTGGTCCTGTTTGACTTTAATCTCTTAGGACAGTGACTTTTACACTGACTTATTCTGCCAGCTCTGCTAAGACATCAAGGAGGGGAGCACTGTGAATGTCCTTGGCCTGTATCAGAGGCTCTGTTGACTCTATAAGTGGACTGGTCACGCCTGTACCGTGAAGACAGAGGCTCACGTGGTACTAGTTTTTCTAGTTGTGAACTCCTTGGCAGCAGGCTCTCTCCTTTCAGAAGAGACTCAATCAGGAGGATCTGTTACTGCCTGGAAGAGATAACATAACTCCGGAGCCCCAGGGTGTTTTGTCTTTTTTTTTTTTTTTTTTTTTTGAGGTCTGAGGCAGTGAAGAGGAACGGGAAGGGGGACGACTAATTGCAAACCCTAGGAGTCTGGTAGGTGGAGGAGACTGGCTCTAGGCAATTGCAAGTGCAAAGGCCCAGGGGCAGAGAAGAATACCACTTTCTTTTCAGAAGCAAGGTTGAGAGAGGTGGAGTCTGAAACAGGGATTGACCAATGGTGTGGGAGGGTGCTGAGCAGGGGTCAACAAAGAAAGGAGATGGACATTCTTGGGTCTTGGGTTTAGTGGGAGGTTCACTGTTTGGCTGGCAAGTGGGCTGGGGAGTGGGAAGAGATGAGTAGAGTACCTTCTATTAGGTTGACTGAGGGCTGTCGTTTTATTCTTGTATTTGGTGACCTTGTCTGTGTTCCCAGCTCTGCTTTGTGAGAGCAATACCTGTCATCCTCTGATGCCCTCCCCAAGTCTGGACAGGTGGAAGAATTACCTACCCAGACCTGTCTCCTCCTGGGTGGTCCCCACAATTCTCTGGAATGGGCTGGAACAGGTGAAGAAAATTCCGGATCGGAATGGTAGACCCTCTAGGCATGGACACAGTATTCCCGCCCTCTTGTGCTTTAGGTTTGCGACTGGTAGCGGTGAGGTTCGTCCTCAGCCTTGGTTCCCCCCTTCTGCTGGGTGGCGGAGCTCCGGGCGGGGCTCCGGGCGGGTCCCTAAGGGGGCGGGGCAGTCGCGGTGTCCCCCGCCCCGCCCCGGCCCGGCCCGGCCCCGCCCCGCCCCGGAGCCGCCCCGGACGCAGGGCGCAGGAGGTACTCGGCCCAGCAGCCCGCGGCGCCGTGCTCCGCACGCTCAGGGCACGGTGAGTGCGGTCAGGGAGGCGGGAGGCCGCGCCGGGTCGGGGAGGGTCGCGTCCGGGTCTCCAGCGCACCCCTGTCCTGACGCGTCCCGGGAAATCGGCGCCGCGGGAAGTCTGGGGACCCCGGGAGGAGCGCGGGGGCGGCGGCCAGCGTGACAGCTGCGGGCGGGCGGGGCTTCGGTTCAAATGCAACCGCTTCACCCGCTGCGAAATCCCGGCACCCTAGAGATTCGGCGGCAAAACGCCGCAGTGCCTGAGGTAGCGCGTCCTGGGGGCCAGGTGTCTTCCTTCTTTGCCTCTAGAGGCCGGAGGACTTGCTAATGCGCTCTCATGTCCCCAGGGCCCGGAAAGTCCCATTCTGGGGACCACGAGCCTCTACCAGGAGAGCCTGAGAGCGCACAGAGAGGAAGGGACGTCCCACTCGGTGCGCTTCGTTTCCTTTCCTTCAGCCACCTACCTCGCTGGGCGAGCGGCACAGTCTCGCTGATCCCCCTCCTACATCTCTAAAGGGGGGAACTAGATGTTGGCTTCATTTGAGGTCGATCTGGAGCGCGATCCAGGGCCGGGTGTCTCACACAGCCTGGCTGGCCCCTGCTTCAAAACTGTTCCAAGGGTGGTAACATTTAATCTCTGGCTCTGGGACACTTTCCCTGTGTCTTAGAGACCTGCTTCATCTCTGTAAGGATGGCTTCTTTCTATAATGAGTAGGCAAAGTGTGCTTGTGGGGTGGCTTTAGTGCCACGGAGGGCACACGTCGTACCTCATGGGTGGGAAAAAGCGACTCGTCTTCTTGGCGGGGAACTGTGTGTCACACTGGCTCGGTAACCGAACTGGACAGCCCCTTTCATCTACCCAGAAAAGAAGAAACACGTTGAGAAAGGGGGCGTGACCTGCTCAAGGCAGCACAACCAGGATCCACGTCGCAAGGGAACGTGGCTCTATGAAAGGGCTTAGCTTTGCCTCTTGCTGGGGTGAATGGGGGGAGAGGGAGGGAGAGCCGACAGCTCACAGAGGTCAGGAGCTAGGCTAGGAGGCAGGAAGGTGCATCTGTGCCAATGGACTGTTTTGCTGGCTTTCCTATGAACTGTGCTCTGGACCGACACTCCAACACACGTGGGCTGGCATATTCCCTCTGGCCTGCTGACAGTTACAGCTGAGCCAAGCTGCTCCCCGGGAGCCAGAGAGGCCCCTCTGGGGGTGGCTGTGTAGGAATGTACCAGGAGGCCTTATTTCTGGAGTCACTGAGGGAGGGATGAGAACCCAGGATCATTTATCCCCCTCAGTCCCGAAAAGATCTCAGGGTGTGGCAGAGTTGTTCTTTCTCCATGGGAACAACTGTTTACCCTCCTTGGGGGCTTTGCATGCTTTGGAGTGACTATGGACCCCGCCCTGCTGGGACAGCCCCTTTGTCTAATGATACAGAGACCTGTGGTTGTTGTGGGATCCTGGTATGGCCACTCTGGAAGGCATGACTGGGCAGGGGGACCATTGCCTCCAAAGGTCCCTGGAGTCTGTGAGCCCAGAGGCCTCTGGCCTCCTGTGTTCATTTTGCTGTAAGGGATGGGGGTGACCAAATCAGATGGCCACTTTGGCCTCACCTAAGTATAGGCCTTAGGCTGGTCATTTCACTTGTCATTTTCAGAAAGGGGGCACCCCAGCTCCCCACAGTCCCTTTGTCCATGAGACATTATGAGCAGTAGGCGAGATATTCACAGTGTTTCCTGGGGTGTGAATGGATGTAGCAAAGGTGAGTGCTTCTGTGGTTCGGTTTGGGGGGGAGGGGAGGCTGATCAGGGTACCCGAGGGCTCTGCAATGCCTCTTTCCTATTTGTCTTAATTTCCCCAAATCTGTCTGAATCACTCCCCTGGGATCCTCCCACTATTGGAAGCTTGTCCTTGATTGGGGGGGGGGGGGGATCGGAGAGAGGCTGTAGGGCATTCAGGTGTGGCTGTGGAGTCTTAGGATTAATGTATCCTGTTGTTTACTTCCTGTGTCCCTGGCGAGAGGCACGGATGCCATTGCTGGCAACTACAGATAGGGGACCGATAGTGCTATTCCCTGGCTGTGTCCCAGGGTTTGGACTCCAGACCTTTGACTCGCCGGTCGTGTTTGAACTCTAGACCTTTGACTCAATGTTGTTCATTACTTTACACATCCTGTATTGGACAGTCCAAGGATGATGTTGTATGCTAGCCACTGGAAAACTGCAGATCAGGCAGGTCCAGTCATCATCAAGACACTGATGGACAGAAATGAAAAAATGGATTGTGACCACCCCCCACCCCCTTGTAACACCAATATGTTTTAGTACCAAGACAGGACCCAGGAGGAACAGATTTCTGTAAGGGATATGACACCTCCCAACCTCAGGATTCTTAACTTTGGGTTTCATAACCATTCCTGAGACTGTGCAACTTGGAATCAGATGGGGACAGGTCTCCAAATCCGGAGCCCTGATTTCATCTCTAAGGTGATGCCACCCACTTCCAGTTGCTGAGAAGATAAGTCAGGGCAATGCTTGGGGGAACCTACCAGAGGCAGCAGCCCAGGCCCATACTCTTGCTTGTCTTTCTACTGCCCTTATGACCTAGTGTCGCTGGGACCCCACTCTGCCTGGTGTCCAACTGCAGACTCCTAGCATCTTCTTAACCGGAAATCACATGCCACCATGGTGTGACAAGGAGCAGGACTAGAAGAATGTTGGCCCTTAGGAAAGAAGTCACTTTTCAATCATTTGCTTTGTACAGGTTCTAATTTGTATAGCATTTGTGTCCATCCTAATTTACACATGAAACTTTTTTTTTTTAAAGAGCAAGGGTCTCTTATAAACTAGGGTACCCTGGAGTAGATAGACAGCTAAGGAGGACTTTGAACTCCTGTCTCTACCTCTCCTTGCTAAAATTATGCGATGAAAGTACCCCGCCAATTGAGCTACATTGTTGTTTATTTTGAGACAGCATCTTGATATGTAGACGGAGCAGGCCTTGAACTCCTGATCCCCCTGCTGCAGCTCTACAGTGCTGGGGTTGTAGACATGCCTTGCCACATAAGTGTAAGGAGGTGTATAAAAGAAAAAAGGGCAAGCGGTGTTAACATAAACCATTGTGGCTGTGTGAGGGACAACGTGAGAGATGAGCCTGTTCCCTCCTCTGTTCTTTTTCTTCAACCCGGTGCAGGTCTTGTGTGTATATGTATTTAAAAAGTATATAGAACGTTTATTACAGCATTTGCTATATGTAAATGCACACGCATGCTGTGACCCACATATGAAAGAACAACTTTCAGGACGTGGTTCTTTCCTTCCACCATGTGGGGCTGGGGGATGGCACTCGGGTTCTCAGGCTTGGCTTCAAGGGCTTTAGCCAAGCCATCTCCACGTATATTTTAAAGTGTTTTCATATTCCATCATTACAAATAGGAGCTTTACTCTCCGTCCCATCAAATCTTACATAGTATAAAAAACTGAAAGATAGTAAGCATGTCCCGAGTCTTTTAGAAAATTATTCACTGGACTCAAATGTTCATCTGGCTGGGTTTAAAAGAACAAACAATCCCTTGTGTGACACATGAGTTCCCTTTATTGCGGGGACACAGTCTCCCTCTCCATTTGTCCTGCAACACCTGGCAGCGGCACAGCTGGGAATCTCAAAATAAAAACAGAATGTCTTTAAAGTTCTGGCCTAATGATTTACGTTTCCAAATCATGAATCGTGACATGTTTGAGCTGGGAGGGACCTCAAGTCACCTGGTCCAGTTTGCTGGTTTAACAACCCAGAGAAGTGCCCTGGCCAAGGTCAACATAGAACATGAATGTATATAAGGAGGACAGTGCACAATGGCTAGCCACACCTGTGCGTGACTCTCATGGGGATACCACCTGTCACGCTAGCCTGTCGCCCTGGGACTGCAGCCGCCTCCTGAGGGCAGGCAGGGAGGCACAGGTGTCCTGTCAGAGATGACATTGATTTGACTGAAGATGTTGGGGAGCTACAGCGTGCAAGGTGACTCATGAGCAGAAACCTCACCGAAGGCGGTACACGAGCTTGGCTGAGAGTCCTGTTTCCGAGTCCACTAAGGCAGCTGCTCTTTCTCCTCCTATTTGATAATTCATTCCCAGACTGCACAGTGCTCTGGGAATGGTCAGTCCTGGTTTGCTGTTGCTGGGGAAACAGGTTCACAGAGGTGGGCGATTTCCTCCAAATCCCGCTGCAGGTGAGGGTAGGGCAAGAGAACCCGCAGCGAGATCTGAAAAGATGGATGTTTTGTTTTCTCATGTGCTGGGCTGTGAACACATTGTTTTTGCTGCCAAGAAGCAGAAAGTCTGGCCAGCCCAGCCTGGCAGGCCACAGGGAAGTGGCCTTGTAGAAGACAGATGGGCGGGGTCCTTGTAGCTGTCAAACTGCAGGACTCTCTGAGCTGACAGCCTGGCCACACTGCACCATGCACAGAACACGCTGTCTGCAGGACAGAGTCAGGGTGTGCCCGAGGTCTGCCTGGTTTTGTCCCGGTGTATCTGGTGTACCCTCAGATCCTAGCAACCTTCTCCGCTCCCACTGGAAGGTGTTCTTCCTGCCTGCCCGCTGGAGAGGTATCTGTGTGCTTATGTTTCCTAGGTACCTTATGCATAAGGTATTAGTGCCCTTGTGTTTTGAACACAGGAGGTCAGGTGTGGCATCATGGTGGTGCTTGCAGAGTTCTGGATTTTGGAGATTGGGAGTATTCAACTTGTGCTTAGAAGTCACAGTTGCAGTGGAGAACAAGAGAATCCCAGAGTTCTAGATAGCCTTGTCTGAGCCTGTAATTTTACATACAGGGAAAATGAGTCTCCACAAGCAGACAAAACTGTCGTGTTTGTGTGTGTGTGTGTGTGTGTGTGAGAGAGAGAGAGAGAGAGAGAGAGAGAGAGAGAGAGAGAGAGAGAGAG